GAGAGGGTAGAAGAGAAGGGGACATTCCTGGAAAGGGGGTGGAGGTGGGGGGGGGAACATGGTCAGATGCTTGGAGCTCAGATGGGAAAGGAAGCCAGTGGATTTGGCAATGAGGTCATCCTGGGTGACCTTCAATGAAGCCCATCTGTAGGGCCAGACTGCCACCGGAAAAGGAGGATTGGCAGATGGTGGGTTCAGTGTTATGGAGTTTAGGAGCGGGAGGGCAGGACGTGCTGGAGGGTGAGAGCAAGTTTAGGAGGAAAACTGCTTTCTGGAGGATGAGGACTACCGGAAACCACTTGAACTGCGGGGAGAGGTGGAGGAGGTGGGAGAGGTGGAGGAGGTGGGAGAGGTGGAGGAGGGTGGGAGAGGTGGAGGAGGGTGGGAGAGGTGGAGGAGGGTGGGAGAGGTGGAGGAGGTGGGAGAGGTGAGGTGGAGGAGGGTGGGGGGGCTGGAGGGCGCGACAGGGATGTATACTTCCAGCTTCCCATGCAACAGCAGTGGGGCCTCCCAACCTCAGCTCGCTGATCTCCACTGGGAGCCCTGGAGTGAGCGTGTTAGTGCCATTATCCAAAGGACAACACAGGCAGAGCCATTCAACGCTAGTCTGAGACCAGGAGGCTGGAACCATGGCTGCTCTGGTAGCCCACTGCAGGGCCCTCAAACCTCAGCCCCTCAAATCAACCCAAACCAAGCTCCAACTCACCCCATCCCTTTAAAGCAACCTGATCTCTGCCAAGGCCCTGACTCTTCAGCAATGGGAGTCTTCTCTCCACACCTGGCCTCTTTCACACCTGGCTGTCTCAGGTGGACACCCGTGGTCACCTCCTATTTTCAAAACTTCTGGTTTCCTGCCACTCTTACCATCAGTCCCCACTCGGGAACTTTCTACTGGCTTCCTGTCACACCAGAACCCCACTCAGAGGCAGGGACAGCTACCCGGGAAGCCTCTCATAAGGCCCAGAGGAATCTGGCGCCAACAGCGCCCCCTTCCTCCTTCCTTCCATGAGTTCTCTTCTTACACACAAGCTGGGCAGCAGTGCAGGGCCTGAGCCTTTTCCATGCTCCCTGCTGTCTGGGACTCCTCCCAGATCCCCAAGTGTCTCATTCCCTAAGGTCCATTCATGCCTCTGCACAAATGTTACCCCTCGAGAGGCCATCAGAGCACGCAGCCACCATTTCTCTCACCCTCCTCACCCAGCTTTATCTTCTGCAAGTGTCCACCATGCCACCTAAAGCCACATTGCAGCTTCGTGTGACTCGTTTCTGCCGTCAGAGTGCACACTGAGAGTCGAGACCTCGTCTACTCTATCATCCGCTGCACCTGTGGGCCTGAACTCTGGGCTGCCAGAGTACGCACCTGTCAGCCCAGTGCCTGAACTCAGCCAGCGGCTCAGAACAGAAACGCGCAGGGAGCAACCCCACCCCACAGCAAACGGTTCAGGACCCACAGCCTTGCCCAGCACCCAAGGCCTTCCTCAACCCTCGAGGCTCTGCTCCCCAGGCCACCACATGGAACCTCTACTACAACTGAACCAGCACCCCTGAAGCAATATGACCCCCGCAGTCTGCTCACAAAGTCTTCCTGGTTTCCTCACATCACTGCACTTCAAAGCATAGGTCCTCCCTCTTCTGAGCCTCCATGTTCAGGCCAGGCTCTAGACCTGGCACAGGGCCTGTGCTGCCACGCCAGGGATGCAGGGTCAGTAAATATTTATCCAGTGATGTCTGTTTGGTATCAGTGCTCCCTTGGCACCTATAGGCTGCCGTATCTGCAGTGACGACGATTAAGGCAGGAAGACCCAAGAACAGCACCAAGGGACAAGAGTTCAGGATGGGATGTGCTGTTTCTAGGAAGGGCAGGAGGGTCTGGGCTCACCCAGCCAGAGGCACAGCCTCCTACAGCTCAGGTGTAGAGTGTGCGCCCAGGGGACCAGAGCTACTGCTGGAGGGCAGATGGGCATGGAAATGTCGTGCAAGGACACAACAGATGCCAGGTTGGTTCAGGGCAGCCAGATCAACACAATTTCTCAAGAAATCTCTATGTGAATGTAAAATCTGCCATTTTACATGCTGACCACCAATGCAAAACCAGGAGCTGGGTACCACATCAACAGCTGGCCAATACCAATTGCCTCTCTGTTCTTGAGCCCATGCTCTCCTCTCTTGCCCCTCCATTTTGATTGTTCCAGCATTCAACAAGCACCTGTCAAACACTAGGAACGAGTCTGGCGACGGGCTTCAGCTGCCTCCACGTCTGTAATGCCAAACCCAGGACTGGCTGTGCCTGGGAGGCTGCAGCCTGGGCCAACCCAGGAGTCTCATCTGTCCTTACCTTCGTTGTGCTGAGCTCTTCTTCTCTCATCCCGTGGTGTTCTGGTTCCGTCAATTTTTCTAGAAGAAAAAAAAAAATGGGCACCTATTATCTCAGGCTCATTTACCTAAGCATTTATTTGAAAAGTTAGACTCTGCAATTATCTTTGTATGGTAAACTCATGTGCAGAAAGCAAGAGCATGGTCTTTCTCTACTTGCCCTTCAGACGTAGAAACAGACTAAAAATGCACCTGGTGCCTGCTGTGTGCTGACCTGCCCAGCTCAGAGACCAGAAAACCCTCCCTTCTTCTGGTCTCAATACCAGACCTCCCAGCATCCCTGGGACTGAGACTCCTGCACCTACGGGGAATAGGGGTGTGTCCGGGGTGCGATCGTCCTCTGTGTTCCTGTCTGCAGCACATCCTGGGGTGTCATCATGACATAGAACTGGCCTGCAGGGGAAGCAGGGGTTAGCGCCAAGATGGGGCAGAGTTGGAACTGGTTGGGGACTTCCCTCCCTGATAGGCCTGTTGCTTCCCCTGCCTTCCACCCTCGCCACTTCCTCTCCTTACCTCCGGCCTGCAAGCTCTGGTCGGTGGTTTGCACGGACACAGCAGTGGTATCTCCCACACTGGATGCGGGGAAATAGGCAAACCGGGCCTCTCCACTGACAGCCTCCGCTGCTGGGCTGCCACCATTGCTGAAGGGATTCTGGATTACAGCCTGGGGAGTAGGAGGACACAGAGGCCACCCTTAGCTATCTCTGTCCCCCTTGTTGCTGTACTTGATTTTTGGTGCATTTTCTGTGGGGACGAGGAAGCCCTCTGAGCGCACTATTTTGTCCTGTGTCTGTGACAGTGTGACAGCCAAGCAGCTTGACTCAGCCTTCACTTGCTGAACTGTTCATTTTTTACTCCAAGACGATTTTCACTTACAGACATCATCCCCATTTTACAGGAAAAACAGACAAAACTCCAAGAGATTTAAGGATTCCCTCTGCCCAAAAGGCACCTGACCCCACATCATCCGACAGCCTAAAGGTGGCATGTGTGCCACGTCACCTGCCCCACCCCCTGGAGCTTCCAGGATAGTTAGCATCCCTCTCCATATTCCCAGAAGTTGTTGGGCACCTACCAGTGGGAAGGGTGCTGCGGGACCTGGGGGAACAGAGGCAGCGGCGGGGCCAGGGCGCTGGGCTGCCCCGTCCACGCCCACCTGGGTCACAGCCTGCTGCCCCCCCGCAAAGGCAGCCGTGGACACGACGCTGACGGCGCCAGCTGTGTCTCCCTGGCCATCCAGCTGACCATCAGTCACCTGGACTACGCGGTATGTCACCTGCAGGGGGCGGCAGAGCGACGAGACCGGCGCTGGGGCCGGGGCTGGGGCCAGGTCAGAGCCTCTCAGCCCGCCCGCGCGCCCGCCCTCTGCTCAGCCCACCACTGGCCCGCCGGGCTCCCGGCCCGCTGCCTCACCTGTCCTCCATTATTCTCTGTGCGGAACTGGTACTGGATGTTGTGGTCACCGAACGCCGCCTGCTGGACGCTGGCGATGGCCACCGCCGTTTGCTCCTCCGCCCCAGGACCGTCCCCGCCTGCGGTCAGAGTGTAGAGGGCAATGATCAGCGGTCGCCTGGGGTCAGAGCGCCCCCAGCCCCTCTCCGGGCGTGGGCCGCAGCCCCAGTGGACCCGCAAGCACTCACCTTCTTGCAGCTCGACGCCCTCCTCGGCCTCGGGTCCCTTGTCGTGGCTGCGGCAGGGACAGGAGGAAGAGGGGTCAGGGTCAGGGGTGCCCGCGCCCCTTCGCCCAGGGGCAGGGCCCCACGCCGCCCGGCACCGCATGGGGCCGGACGGCGCCAGGGTGGGGGGCCGGGGGCGCTAGGCACCGGGCGCCCCCTCCCTCGCGGCCTCCATTTTGAGCCGGGCCCGGCGGCCGCTCCGGATCATGGCGGCCCGGCCGGCAGGCCGAAGAGCCGGGACCCGGGTGCGCGAGGGCACGGGTCTGCCGGGCGCTCTTACCTGGCAGCGGCAGCAGCGGTGGCCGAGGCAGCGGGATCCAGACCCGGGTCCAGCATGTCCATGGGGGGGGTGGGGGCGGGGGGGGCGCGGGGCCCGGGGGGGGAGGGGAGGGGGGAGGGAGGGAGGGGAGGGGGCGGGCGGCCGGGGGGGCCCCGAGCCCGGCGCTCACGCCGCGCGGCAGGAGGGGACGGAGGAGACACGGGAGCCGCTCGCGCTGATCACGGGGACAAACAGTGGGGTCATGTGAGGAGGAGATGCCGCCGCCGCCGCCGCCGTCGTCGCTCCTGCAGCCGCCGCCTCCTCCTGCCGCCGCCGCCTCCGCCCGCCCGCCGACTCCGGGCTGCCCGAGGCTCCGAGACTCAGTGCAGCCGCCCCCCGCCCGCTGCACGCGGCCCTCGGGCCTCCTTCCCTGAGCAGCCGCCGCCGCCGCCGCGACTTATTTTAACAAGGCCCGCTCTGGATGGCCGCCGCCTCTCCCCTAGATCGCCGGTTCGCGCGCCCGCCTCCCGGCCTGGACCCGTTCGGCAGCGGATCGCTGCTGCAGCCACCGCCGGTTTCTATTTTTTCCCCCTTTTTTTTCCTCCTTTACTTGAGCTGCGCGCGCGCGGCGGCGGCGGCGGCGGCGGCGGCGGCGGCGCGAGCCCGGGGCTTGACGCGCGCGGGGGGAGGGCAGCCCCCGGGGAGCGCGCGCGCTGTCTGTCTCCGATGGCAGGCGGGCGCGCGCGGGCCCGGGTCTCGGCGGGGCGCGAGGTCGCCGCCACAGCCTTCGGCGGCCGCCCGGGGCCCGCCGCTGGATGGAACGCGGGCCCAGATGGAACGCCGGGGGACCCGAAGGTGGGACTCTGGTCGCCTGGGGGCCAGGGAAGCTGCCGGGGTTTGAAGACAGCAAAGTAGGTCGGGGGGTGGGGGGGGCGGCTAACAGGGTGGAAGGGGAGAGGGGCGCGCGCGCGCGCTCCCGGCTTCTGGGCGAGAAGGCGGAGGCGCGAGGCGCATGCGCACGTCTGGGCGGGGCCGCGGCGCGCACGCAGGGGCCGGGCGGAGGCGGCGTGGGGCACGTACTCCTGGCCAGGGCAGAGGTAGAAGGCAGAAGGCTGACTTGGGTCCCTTCCTTCTGACCCAGGACTCCAGCTCCCAGAGAAATGGGACATGGCATTTTCAGACACAGAGCAGCTGCCCAGGTCCCCCACCTCGTGCAGCAGAACAAATGCTTCTCGAGACATCACTTTTATGATTGTCAATTTTATTAGATTTACAAGATCTTCATCAATACTCCCTCAAATTAAAAAAAAAAAAAGTACAAAAACTACATACAAAACATGAGGTCAGACGACTAAACTTTCCCGACTCAGGGCCAAGTTCTGCAAAGGAGAAAGAAGAGTGTAAACTGGGCAGGGACTGAGAAGAGGGGCCTGGGCAGGGTCTAACCTCGGGGAGGACCATTCGCTCACCTTCTTTAGCCTCCGCTCCCGTGAGGCCTGGGAGTCCGTCTCCGAGTACGGGGGAGGCGGTGGAGGGTAGTAGGCCTCCTCTTCTTCCTCTTCCTCCCTGTAATGTTTCCTCCTCTCCCCTGGCCCCTTTTTCCTTAAGGCTTCTTCTAGTAGACGCTCATCATAATGCGGGTCCCCAGACCTAGAGCCTTCATCCCGGGAGTCTCGGGATCGGTGCTGGCGGGATCTGGGGTCCACCTGAGGGCGGTCCCTAGACCTGAAGTCATCGTAGTGAGGATCCCGCGAATGTGGAAAGTCCCTCGAGTCATCTGGGTCGTAGAGGTCATCACGGCTACGGCTTCGTGGGGGTGCGTAGGCACGTCCTCTCCTCCCACTACTTGGGGGAGACCTCCTCCCAGACTCAGCAGAACCCGGCCGGGTTAGATCATCCAGAGCATCCACAGAGTGGGCCCGGGGCCGCCTGCCCCCCCAGCCACCCCCTGGCCGCTCTGTGGGGGGCTCCTGCTCCCATCTCCTGGGACTCCGGGGGGAGTGGCGACCCCACTCCTCATCCCGGATTGGGGTGAGGGCAGGACCCCGGGAAGGCCGGGATCTCCAGTCGTCTTCATGGAGGGAGGTGACTTCACTCATAGCTGTAGGGAATGGGGAATGTCACTGATGCTGGATGGGGCCAGGGCTAGCAGTTGTCACCCCTTGGCTCAAAAATTCCCTAGGGGACATGATAGGGAAGGAGGAACTATGCTCAAGGTGTTTACAGTCTCCTTGGGGCAGGTATCAAGGAGCCATGCTTCCCCATCCCCCTCAGGGAGCCCTCAGACCCCAGGTCTCCTCACCCCGTTCTAAACGACCATTGGGGGGGCCAGGTCCCGGTCGAGAGGGGTCGAAGTTGGCCAGCTCTTTCTCCATGTAGTACAGGACTCTCATGGAGTCATCCTGCTGGCTGGCTTGGATCCTGTACCCACTGCGGACTTCTAGGGATAGGAGAAGGTGATCGATTTGGGAAGATGGATGCTGACCCACCCAGCTTCCCTCTACAGGCATATCCAACTTGGGAATGACAGGTTCTCACCAGAGGTCATGTTGCTGTCTGTGTCCCGAAGCAGGGGTACCTGGGAGCTGTGGCCAACTGAAGGAGATTGGTGGTCAGTGGCTCCCCCCACCCCCCCAGCCTTGCATTCCCAGTACCTCCCACCCACTCTTCCTCCCAGCCCCAGCCCCCTTTGTGTCCAGTGCCCAGTCCAGCTCCTCTTAGGTCAGCCCTCACCTGAACTATTCCTGTCAAATTCTCCAGCGTACCCTCCAGGGTATCCATTGTAGACAGGGCCCATCGGAATCATGGCTGGCGGTGGAGGTGGGGTCTTGGTCGGGGAGAGGTGGGCGTAGGTGCTTGGGGCGTAGATGCTTGGGACGCCTGATGTGGCTGCTTTGCCAGCTGCATACACTGGGAGGGCACAGTTGGCATGAGAAGGCAGCCAGGAGCCATGCTGCTGTGTGAGGGGGTTCTAAGGGCTGTGCGCCTGCCTCCCCCACCGCATTATTACAGTACCTCAAAGCCAGGGAACATCAGCTATGCTTAGGTTGTCACCTCCTGTGATTCTTCATGGAGCTTTCAGAATAGGGGGCGTGTGGCACACTGGCAGTCCACGGCCCCCAATCTGGCAGGCCAATACATTTTGTTTGACCTTGTGGTTTGCCAACATTTGTCAAAAAGATTTATGTGAAATTCCAATTCTCCAGCTACCTTCCCTAAAGCTCTGGCTGTACTGTGTGCTTACAGGCGACAGTGAGCAAAGCCACCTCTCGGGCCTACACTATCCCAGTTTCCCTTTGGGTGGCAGAGTCCCTGCTCTGGAACAGGGAGTTGCCGGGGGATATCCCATGCCCACTCTGCTGTCATGCCTGCTGGGTCATCTTCCAGAGCCAGATGGCAAGGAAAGGAAGTTGGTCTGAGACAGGCCACAAGGGCCCCAGGAGTTAACTGGGCCGCCTCAGCCAGGAGCAAAATAGCTCCTCTAGGGTTTCCAACTCCTGGCCCCGCCCACTCTCACCCAGAGGGCCAGCCAGCCTGGCTCTAGGCTTGACAGCTCAAGGGCAAATCCTTGCTTCCTTCCTCCCACAGCAGGAGGTTGGGTCCCATGGCTGCTCTGTGGCCAAGTCACTGGGCTCTAGGCAAGTCACTTCCTCCTTGGTATCCACAGGCCCAGGGAGACGCCCTACTCTGATTTGGTTCAAAAGCAGAAGAATAAGTGCTGAGCCCCACCTAGGAAAAAACCCTACATCAGCTCAGGTGACTGATTTGCTGTGTTATAATTAGCAGTGGAAGCTGTTTCCTGATGGATCTGCAGGGGGCTGTGGCTGGGGCTAGAGCTGAAGTAACAGGGATAGGCGGTAGGTGGAGGAGGTGTGCCTGGGGACAGGCCTGTGCACCTTGACCTCAGCCTCAGTGGGCTAACTGAAAACTTGGTGGCAGCCCTTTAAAGTTCTTTTCTGAATCTGTAAAATGGACTAACACCCACCACCTGAGCCAGAGCTCTCAATTAAGTGATGGGAGTGAGACTTTGAGGAGCCGGGTTGCCCACCAGGGTACCAGCTGGCATGGACGGAGCTGCAGCTTCCTGGGCACTTTCCCAGTCTTCCCTTCAAGCTCAAAGAGAAGGGAATGCTGCAGGTCAGAGGTCACAGTGTATGGGGGGCCCTGAGCTGTACCCTAGCCTGAAGGCATTGCTAATGTAGACTAAACCCACGTCCAACAGCTAGTAGGCTCCAAACACTATAGAGGTCCAGCCCCGTGCTGAAAGCTGTGAACTGAGTTCACTACATCCCTGACTCACCCTGCCCAGTGAGCTCTGCCATGAGCCCCATTTTACAGAAGAGAAGGGCAAGGCACTCACTGGGCCAGCCCATTAGGCATTATCAGGCCAACCTCAAACATCCACCTACTCAGGCTCGTAACTGCCTGTTTTCCCGTTAATACTCCTTGGGTTGTGTGCAGAAGTAGTGGTCTATCTACTCGCCCTCCTGAAGGACTAAGGAACTGGTAACAGCTAGTGCCCTGAGGAGGGAAACAGGCAGTGGTGGGAGGGAGACTCACTTTCTTTCTCTTTGCTTGTGTCCTCCGCCCACTTCATCTCTGGTCCTACTTCTATTTCTGAACTTCCACAGGTACCCCACTCTGATACATCAGGAGTGCCCTAAATGCAGGCTTCATGTAAAATGTATAGTGTTCATGTGAATATGTGTTTTTTTAAAATGTGCTGAAATTACATGGTGCGGTAAACCTTGTTTTCTTAACTTTTACACTTGAGATTTTGTTTTTAAAGCGATCCTTGCTTCCCTGTGAATAATCTTATATGTTGGGCTTTTTTTTTTTTTTACTATGTTCATAAATTATATTAAAAAACCAAAAACCCTCAATAAATGAAAAATATAAGTTGAAATAAGTAAGTGATAATCTAAAACAGCAGGTCCTCCTTGGCGTCCTGTCTCCCTAGTGCTAACCTCCTAACCTCCAGATCAGGGCACTGTCCTGGGTAGGCAGCCACTGCCCAGCGGGGAGGCTGCATGAAGGTGGCATGAGGAGCACTTACGGGCCTCGGGACAGCAGCACTTCTCCGGGCAGCAGGGGCACCTGACGTAACAGCAGCAGGTATGTGGGCAGCACTGACACCAGCAAATGCCCAGGAGGAGAAAGACAAGGAAGGCAGCCAGGCAGACCACGACCACGAAGAGCCAGTCTGCAGGGAGACCAGAGGAGGCCTGAGCCGGGAGCCGGGAAAAACCAACAGGGGCAGAGAGGCCCTGCAGGGGCAGCACAGAGCCAACCTGGGCCCAGGGACCTGCAGCCCTCATTGGATTCTCTGTGCCAGAGTTGGGGGCACAGGACAGAGGGATGCCGAACCCTCTACAACCAGGGCCAATCCCCAAGTTAGGGATCCCTTGGGCTTCAAATGGACAAGGCAGAAAACAAGAGTAACCTGGCCAAAGCAAGATGGAGTGTAGCCTCTAGGAGGGGAGAGAGCCATAGCCCAGACCCAACCCCTGAAGAACACAGCTGGCGCCAGTCACAGGAGCCCCTGCCTACACCCCAGGTCCCTCCTCAGCCAGCCCAGCCCACCTCCAAGCCCAGAGCCAGGCCACTAGATGCCACAAGGTCAAACAGAGTTAGTGGGGTTCACAGCGAGAGTGATTAGGGGGGGAGGAAAATGCCAGAGAGAAGCCCCACTGAGGACTCCACCCCATACCTTCCATGGGCCCCGCCTGAAAATCAGGTAAGAGTTCAGTCACCCCCGAGGTCCTGCCTGGAGGGATAAAAGAGAACAGGAGATTATGCTGGCCAGAGCCAGCCCAGGCAGTCCTGTCCCTAAAAAGTGCCCCATTCCAGGCTGCTCAGTAGAAGGTGTGTCCTGCAGCAAGCAGGCAGGGGCGAGGCTGGTGGCCTAGAAGAGACTTGGCCTGTGGTGCCTGCCCTCCACCCCTGCTCACATGTGGGTGCTGGTGGGTGTGAAGGCCACCATCACATAATCCACTTGCTGTCAGCCCCAGCAGGTTCCAACACACGCCACAGGGTCCCGAAAGTTTGACCTTAGTCCGGTCACTCTATCTTTCCCATCCAAGGGGCCTATCTTCCCAAAGGTTCCAACAGACAACAGCAAGGATCCCATGGTGTCAAGCAGAGCAGGCCCAGCACCCTAGGACCCAGCAACATGCTTTTTTTTTTTTTTAATCTGGAGAAAAAAAAATGTATAATACTAAGTATATAAAAATGGAATGTCTTTGTGTGTTTTGTTTTGTTTAAATGGAGAAAGGGGCCCACAAAGGCAGAAGCTTCTGTGGCCCATAGAAGTCACATGGGATCCTGGTCCTGTGACCCACCAGGGTTCCATCCTCTGTTTGTACATTCTGTCACGTGTGCATGTTTCCTGACCCAGTTGGTGCCTTCCCTCAGGTGCCATGGGGGCCTGTGTCCTGCGAGCAGCACATGGCGGGAGCCCACACACGCAGTCCCTCACCACGGAGCTCTCGTGGGGCTCCCACGTGGCGTCACACACCCCCGTGAGGCGCAGAAGCATGGAAGTCTGGTTCTAAGCCCAGACCCTTTCAGGACACCAAGGCATTACTTGCCTTCTTTGCCCTCCTTCTCTCATGTGGGGCTTTCCAGAGCCTCTGTGACACAATGACGTCATTGCCTTGAGAGCTATGGCTTGTGCACTTGTGTATCTTATGCTTTAAAAAGTAGCCAGTTTCAGTTTCTAACATACTAAGCAACTATAGACATAGCCTCAAAGACCCTGAACAACTCCTCCGAGGCCTCGGAATGTTCCAGGGTGAACAGGCCCTGGGGTTAAACTCGGAGAATCACTGTTGCCACGGGTGTGTTTCCAGAACTTCCCGGATGGCGGGATTGCAGGTGCAAGAGCATCTTGGCCCATGTTCACCTGGCATGCCTGCTCCGTCACACACGTGAGGGGATGACACCCTTCAGCTCATGGCACCGCTCACACTAGCACACACCACTGTGCTGTGCTTCTAACAGAGCACCCGGCCCTTGGTAGCACCTGCTCCACAGGGCCGAGGCCACCCAGCCACGTGGGAGCTGCTGGTGGACACCTCACCATGCCCCTGGCATCTGGTGCCACCCTCATTTTACATACAAACTTGCACACTTCCTAGCAGTCAAAAGACAAAGATGCTGCGTCTGTCAAGGAACTCCAAAGTGCCCTAGGGCCCTATGAGGAGAGAGCAGGTGGTCCAGTGGGTCCAGCCTCTCAATCACACTGCCTATGTCACTGTTGTTGGCCCTCCCTGACCAGGGAGGACTGAAAAAAAAAAAATCCTACTGAACATGGACAGGACTTTTTCCCATGTTACCATTGCCTAAGCAATACAGTGTAACAACTCCTGACCGCATGACATTGTATCAAGTATTAAAAGTAACCAAGAGATGACTTAAAGTATACCAGAGAATTAGAGGTAGGTTCTTTGTAAACTAAGCCCTTTCACACAAGGGATGGGAGCATCCTGGGACTGTGGTTCTGGGGCGGGGTCCTGAACCCACCCTGCCCCCACCCCCACGACACACACAGTCATCCTCCTCCCTCCTTGTCAACCACATCTGAGCATGTCTGTTTTCAAAAAGGGAGACTGGGAAGAGGTAGAGCCCCCGGTTCTCTCCATTCTTAGTTTGGCTCTGGCTGACTTGGAAGGCTGCAGGGGAAAGGTCCCTTCCTGGGGTGCAGGGCACAGAGAAGCTCAAGTGACTGGCGGTGGCATGAGGGGAGAGCAAAGCAGGTAAAGAGCCCAGTGAGTGGGCTGGAGGGCAGAGTAAGGACACAGAAGGGACAGAAGGACAGAAGGGACAGAAGGACAGAAGGGCCTGCTCCCCCTCCCCCTTCCAAGGACCTCAGAGAGCAGCCCCACTCACCAAGGACAATGAGCTCTGCATAGGCCTCGTTGTTCCCCTGGAGATCCTGGGCCGACACCACGGAGCAATAATACACACCACTGTCCCCCCAAGACGTCTGCTCAAAGGTCAGGTCAGCATCTGAGACGGGAAGAGATGGTGTGAGGGCACCTCATGAGAGGGGGTGTCTAACCCTGACAGGACCAGAGCCCCCCATCCCATGGGCACAGCAGGGAGGGAGCAAGGGGACAGGTCTCGGTGCTCCTCGTGCACTGTTCTGAATACGGAACATGGGTCACTTCAAGAAGCCTGGTGGGGGGCTCGGGTTATACTGGTGGGGTGCTTTCCTAGCACGTGTGTGAGGCGCTGAGCTTGATGCTCAGCACCACATCATAATAAATAAATAAAATAAAGTATTGTGTCCAACTACAACAAAAAATAATTAAAAAAAAAAAAAGCTGGGGTGGTGTGAGAATGACCTGATCCACCGGAAGTGGCACAGCTCATTGATGGCAGAGCAGGGTCAGGTTCATGGCAGGGTCAGTGCTTTTCAGCTCAGAACCATCCTCCCTAGGACCTCTCCAAATCGAGGTGTGATCTCCTGACACAAACGGCCCGAGGCCTGGTGCAGACTGGGGGATGGGTCCAGAGGGAGGAGGCAGAGCTAACTAGGCCAGATTCGAGATAGGAGATGCCCAGGCAGGAGGAAGAGCGGGCGGGCGTGATGTGTGGGAGACAGAGAGGACTCTCCCAGTTCCCTGTCCACCCCCACACCCTCCCCGCCTGTCCCCGCATTCCAGGCCAGGCCCAAGGCTTGGGGAAGCTCAGTCTGAAGCAGCCTCAGGCCAGGAGCCTATTAATTATGCCACTAATGAAAGTCTTTCAGCACATCCGGTTTCCTCTGGACTCCTCAGGCTCTCATTAGTTAAATCCCTTCAGCCAACACAAGTGTGGAACAGGGTGGCACCAGCTTGGCAACTCTGCCTCGGGCCCATGGGGGACAGGAACAGGCTAGAGACAGGCAATCCAGCCAGGAGAGCCCCAGTTCAGGGCCACCTTCTTTCCAGCCACTCTGGCTCCCATTGCCTTGCCCATCACCTGGCCCCGTGGACCCAATGTCCTTCTCCACAATAGTGCCAAGAGCAGTAACTGTGGGTGCCCCAATCCTCAGCACCCAGCACCTAGTGAGACAACAGCCACTAAGTGCTGAGGGAAGAACAGAACTGGAGCCTCTTCCTCAGAAGGTAGGCCTCACGTCCTCAGAAAGACCTGCCTTTTAACACTGTCCACATCCATCCAAAAGCCTCCCTGGACCACCACGTGTCCTCAGCATGTTCTGGCCAGTGGCTATCATGCCAGCCTCATCCATGCCATCTCCTTTGTTCACTGGGCTCTGCACAGGCTGGCCTCCATGTTGTCCCCAACATGCTGGGCTCAGAGCTGCCTCAGCTTGCCCTCTACTTGTCCACCTCCCACACCTGTCCCTGCAGACCCTCTCAGGCTGGTTCCTTCCCATTACTCAAGTCTCAATAGGGAGGAGTGTTCTTCCCTGGCCATCCCAACCTCTATGGCTCTCCTGCCCAACTGCTGACCTCCATCACCCAGGTGCTGTCTGCCCACCTCTGCCCCTGCAAGAATGTGCACTGCACACAGAACCACTGTCTTGGTCACTGCTGGCCAGACACAGGGACTGGCCCAGGTGCAGAAATGTCCCCCTTCTCTCCTCATGCTGACCTTCCTTGGTTTCCGTTGCCTGTTCCAGTATTCTGGGCACATGGCTATAGTCAAATAGAACTTGATTCATCCATTCAACATTTAACAAATAACCACTGAATGCATCTTGTTTTTCAGGCACTATTTGAGGCACCTGGTATACTACCAAACAATGGTTCTCAAAATGATCTGTGCACCATGGTTCCTGGTTCCTCAAGACCTTTTTAGGGGATCAGTGAGGTCAAAGTTATTTTCATAATAGACATTATTTGCTCCCCCCCCTTTCATTTCTTATGAGTGGGCTGTGGCCTTTTCAGAGTGTAGGTGACATTTGAGCAATATCACAATAGACTGAAGCAGGGTTGAGGATCCAGCTTCTTCTATTCAACAAGACTTTCAAAAATAGAAAACGCCACTCTTCTCATTAAAAAAGACTTGTTTTTGGAAAACGTAGTTACTTTGTCATAAAGATATGTTATTTGGGGACTGGGGTGGTGGCTCAGTGGTAGAGTGCTTGCCTAGCATGCACAAGGCACTGGGTTTGATTCTCAGCACCATATGTAATAAAGGTCCATTGACAAATAAAAATATTTAAAAATATATATGTTATTTTAATAATGAGTTTATCATTGTGATTTGAAATATTTTTCAAGTTCCTCTCTGTTTGCTTGCCATAAAAACAAAAACACTTTGACGTCTGCAAGAATAAGAACCACTACTATGGAGAACTTGCCCTTATGGAGCTTAGATTCTAACTGGGAAAGAGAGACAAATTAAAACAAAACAAAACAAAACTTCACCATATTGCATATTCTGTAGTGACAAAGAGTTTGGAGCAAATGAGCCAGGGAAGGCAGAGAGAAAGTACCAGGCATGCAGGTGGGGTGTGCAGTTTTGAATAAGGAAACCAGGGAAGGCCAGGGGTGACCTCCGGAGCACATGGCCACTCTTTATAGAGCTTTGACTATGTGCTGAGTTTCTTTGTATAGATCCAGCCTTTCATCAAATCCTCAAAAACTCTGATCTAGATTCTCCTAAACACACTAGACTCCTCTGCAGTGACCTCTGGGCCCACTGTTTTCCACCTGTATCTCTGAGGTACATCAGCAGGTGGTAGTAGTGCTGTGGACTGGGGCACCCACAGTTAATGCTCCCAAAGAGCCACCACGAAGGAGAGCATTAGGTCAGGCCAAGGGGAAGTGCTTGGCTGGAAAGAATGTGGCCATGAAGCTATGGGGGCTCTCCTGGCTGGGATCGTCTCTACCCTGTTCCTGTCCCCCATGAGCCTAAGGCAGAGTTGCTAATGAGATCCTGACCGCGTCCCTCCAACAACAGTGCTCAAGAGCTGGGCCCAGCCCAAAGCCAAAGAGGCAGACAGGAACCCCCCACTATGGCAAACAATTATATAGACCAGAAGTTGAAACCTGGGGTCTCCAGGACCGGACCTGTGGGTCTCGGTGTGTTTTGTTTGGCCTGCATGTTTCAAAACTCAAGCAAATAGGACTTTCCGGCCTCTTTTGGTTGATCCTAAGGCAGGCCTGAGCCCACTTCCTTCCTGCAGGCGCACCCTGTTCCTGGTCAAGGGCTGCCCTAAGATCACAGGGCTGGGCACTGTCTTAACTGTTCTAGGTGCAAAGAAAAAATTCTGGTCTCTAGTGGGGACAGAAGCTGGACCTCCTCTATGACGCTGGCCTCAGGTTCCTTAACTACCTACCACAGAGGTGGCCCTCATGATTTCAGAGGTCCAATGTCTCTGCTCTAGTGGGGCTGAGAGGGGACTCACATGGCCCCAAGCAGCTTGAAGAGGTGGAACAGGACCTCCAACACTAGCACCCCACATTGCCCAGAGCAGGGAAGAATGGAAGAGAAGCAGATCCACTCCAAGTGGAGGGGCACCTTCTGGTTTGCCCAGAAATGCTTTTGCTTTAAAAACCAAGAACGCTGGTGACCCAAGGAGCACCACAGAAGTCCATTTCTCCCTGTCCTCAAAGCTGAAATGGAGAAAGGTCTCATGGCTACTGGACTTCCTCAAAGGACAGACATATGACATGTCATGGCCCATATCAAACACTGGCTCAGGGTTAGGGAGTCTGAAAGGCCGAGGCCTTTGAGGCCTCTGGAGCCCAAAGGGTCTCCCCTCCCCCTCCCCCTGATAGAGCTGAGGCCATTCTGGAGTTCTGTGCACAGCAGAGGAGATGTGATTCCAGCTGGCCCTCTAGGGCAGGCTCGGTATTTGGTTTGTCCTGATAGGGGCTAGATATGTATGTCTGATCCATGCTGGAGAGGCCCCCGGGTTGGAGAGGGTGTCCATATAGAGTGAACCCCCAAGATGCCCTCCAACCTCAAAAATGGCAGGATGCTTAGGGCTGACCTGCCATGTAAATTCAGAGCAAGCCTGTCCCTGCCCTGAAACACCAGGCTCAGTCCCTGGAACCCTGCCTATCACCTGTGTCTGACACAGTGGGAGAAAGAGAGTGTTCCACGGCCTGGTCACTTGGGGTCTGCAAAGGGATCCACCCTTCTCTCGTTCCCATTCTGTCCCATGCCCTGGATTGAGGACACACAGTTATGTGTGGGAATCTTCATCCCTGGCTCACGGCTGCTCGGCCCTTCCTCTCTGCCTTCTGGATTCTTTAGGGCCTGGTCCCAGCACCTCCTCAAATCTCACTGGAACAGGCTGTAAGGCAGGCACCTCCAAGCCGTTCCCTACAGCACGTCCCCTGCTGCTGTGTTCTCGTGGCACTTGGCACAATCTGAAATTCCCTTGCTCTTTCTTAATCTGTTTATTTGTTACCAGTCTCACCCCACTAGAATGTTTTCTCCCAAGGTCACGGGGAAGGGACCTTGGCCATTCTGAACCCCACTCCACCCCCAGTGCGCACAACAGCACCTGGCATGTAGGAGATGCTTGATAAATACTGAATGCACGATCGACCTTCCCCCTCACTAATCCCAACAGGCACTGGCTGTCAGGAGGCAGCATTATGGCTAAGAACAAGGGCCCTCAGGGCTGCCTGATTGGAATTCCAGCACCAGCTCTTTACTACCTGTGCACCTGAACAGGTTCCTTAACCCATCTGCACCTCGGTCATTGAGACCACTCAATGGGAGAATGCATGTGCCATGCCTGGGAAGGCACAGGCTTTCTCCATTAAGTCGCCTGCCAGTGTCCTTTACTCCCCTCACCTCCTCTGTGAGGCCCTCTGCTGATTCCCTGCCCAGAGCTTAGGGGCTTAGAGACTTGGCCCAAAGTGGCTGAGTGGGAACTCAGCTCTTAGCAGCTCAGTGGTCAGCTGTGGAAATTACTTTTTCTTTCTGGGCCTCCTAAAATGACAATAATAGACTCAATTCATTCAATTTCTGTGTGGTGTAAATGAGTTAATCCATGGAAACCTGGATTAGAGCCTTGCACACAGAAGGGCCTTTACAACTGTTACTTCTTTAACTTTTACTTCTTATTGCTGGTATTACTGGTCCTATTATAGAACACACCCCTGCCTCTCCACTACCGCATTTTTTTTAACCGCACAAGCATTTGACAGTGTATGTTGTGTTTGTTTCCCTTGATGTAATATGAGCCAATGAGGGAAATGATTGGATGGTTTTGTTTACTGCCGTGTTCCCAGAGCCTAGAACAGTACCTGCTATACAGCAGGTGCTCACTAAATCTGTGTTGTGGAGATAAGGAATAGATGGATGGAAGGATTCCTCCCTTTGTGGGTCCTTTCAGGTTCTATTGCCAGCTTCCAGGTGGGGACTCCAGGCTGGGCACCAGGAACCCTGCCCCACCACCCACCCAAGCCAACCTCCCAGCCCCCTGGCCCCACGTACTTCCTGTGATGGTGATCCTCCGGCCTTGGTAGTAGTCTCCCAGGGTCACAGCATTGCCCTGCTTGGTGGCCACAACCCTGACTGTGCGCACACTGTCCTGGCACTCCACGTAGGGATTGTAGCCGGGATTGCCTGCTGCCAACTGGGCATTGATCTGGTTGTCCACACTGGCTGGGGAGAAGGCATCAGCAACGCGGTCCCGGCAAAAGGACTTGTACTTCCAGATTACGATGGGCTCTGGGAGGGTCGAGCTCATCTGATAGGTGCAGGGCAAGGTCACAGGCTGGAACAGTATCACTACGTGGTAGGGGTCAGACACAGTCACCTGGATGCCACCAGCAGGGGCTGAGGGCAAGAGGAGAGTCAGTAGGGATCACTGTAAGCTCAGGAAAGAACTTCAACAGGAATGAGTCACATCATTGCCACCACATCACTTGCCACACAAGTGTGTGGCTGTCCAGAGCACCTGGCACACATTGTTCTTTAATTCCCAGGCCTGGTGAGGTAGCTCTGACAGTCATGCCCATTTTATAGACCCTTGGGGTTGAAAAGTGGCAGATATGAGGTCAATGGCCATTTTACTGGAATGTTTTGTCCATCCTTCCAGACTGTGGTCTCTGAATCACCCCAGTCTACCCTCTGTTCCCTTGCCCATTCCCTCTGTGGCCTGTAGGGGCAAGACCAAATAGCCACCGCAAGGCGCGCCAGGGCTCAAAACCTCAGCTCAAAAAGAACTTTCCCAAGGATTCCAAGTTACCGGGGTTTTGTGAATTTTGGAGAAGTTTGACCTGCGTTCTCTGGAGTGGCTAAAGCCCCCACAACATTTCTGTCAACATCCCACCTGACCCTACCCAAAGTCATCCCAAACACACACCGAAATATGCTTGCTGAAAGACAAAGCCCCCTGTCCCCCACCAGGGTGAACATCCAATCCAGTTCAGGGCTGGCCTGCGGAAGATGGTTTCGGGTCCATAAGTCCATCTTGCCAGTCTCTTACGCACAGATACCAGGGAACCCGCGCGAGGTGGGTGGAGCCGGGGGTGGTGGGAAGTCCCCATCCCACGCCCACTCGAAGCTTGGGCACTACTTCTTGATCCCTTCCTTTAGGAAACGTCGGATTCACCCCTCAATCTAACATTTCCCCGTTACCCCAACCCTTCTCCAGGGAAGCCCAAGATTTCATTTCAGCTTTTCCCGTGATCGAGGGGTCCTTCACTGCTACCCCACAAAGGGTTCCCGTCTCCCAGCCGCTCCAGGGCACACGATCCCGGGAGTTTCACTTCCTGCTGTCTCCGACCAGGGCGCCGGGAGCGCTCGGTGAGAGGGTGGGGAATTCCCTCACTCGGGCACCGCAGAGGTCTCCCCAAACCCGGCGGATCTGGAGGTCCTGAGCTTTTGCGCCTTCGCACCCACCCACCCCCCGGCCTCGCCCTTGTTCTCCCACCTCCCGGGCCGCGGAGAACTGAATCCACCCCCCGCCGTGTGGTGCCCTCCGGCTGTTCCCCAGCACCCGAGGCCCCACGTCCCTTACCTGTGCACCAGGTACTGAAAAAGAGCCACAAGAAGCCCACCGCGGCCGGGTGGGCGCAGGGCGCCCAGGAATGCCCACAGGCCACCCGCGCCATCGCGGCCGTCTGGGCGCGTCGGCCCCGCGCGTCCCCTCCCAAGTACCGGGAGGGTAGGGGGCGCGGCGAGCACCGAGGCCGGGAGGGGTGCGCGCTCCTCCCCTTTCCACTTCCGCTCCTTGTCTCTATTCCAAGTCTCTCCGGCCGCGCTCGAGGAGTTCGACCAACAAAAATAACGTGGATGAAGCGCACGCCTTCAGCTTTCGGGGAGAAACTGGGTAGACCCACGGCGCGTCTCCGAGCCGCTCCACCCCCGGCGCGCCCCTGGGAATGGATCGGCCCAGGTACACAGGGTGGGAGCCCCGGCCGGGTTCGGGGTGGGCGGCGGGGTGGGGCTCCTCGGCCTCCCTCCCCGGAAGTGGGCTGACCCAGGTGCGCTCTGCCCCCAGGGCCGAAACCAAGTGACCGGCCCGCCAGGAGGGCGCCCGCAGACTGCGGGCCTCGTGCAGCCCTGTCCTGCCCCCAACAGGCCGAGCGGACGAGGTCCACGAGAACAGAGACCTGCTCGGAGAGAGCCACCTGTTAGGAGGGGCGGGCCCTGCCGCGCACCTGTTCCCTGCCTGCGCACACCCCTCTCCGGGGCCGGCGATGGACCCGCCTAGGTGCGCCCTGCGGGGAGGGGCGAGCCTCAGCCCGTCCCGCCCGGGAGACGCGCGCCGGCAGCGCCCGGGTTTCCAGCCAGTGGGGTTCGGTCCGCCCCGGTGCGGGGAGGCGCTGCGGGCTTCATACACCTCCCAGTTAGATGACCTCAAGAATCAAATGAAGTCCCTAGAAGGGAAGCTCGGACCCTCTAGGGACGCCCGATGGGACTCAACCCTTGAAAAAGTTAGAATTCTACTTGGGAAGTTCTTCCCGCCTCCCCCTACCCTCCACCGGTGGTTCAGCCCCCGGGCATCCCTCGCCCTAGGTCAGACCTCCGGAAACTCGGGCTCTTAAAGGGGCCGAGCAGAGGCGCGAGGGATCCGTTTCCGCCCAGGAATTCCCTGGGACTGGCCACCTGCGCCCGGGCGGGGTGCTGCTCTGCCAGCCACCGGGGCAGCGCTAGGCGCGACTCTGCTGCCTCCCGGTGGCGTCAAGTGGGGAGCGCATCCTGGGAAACACGACTCAGGCGCTTCCCCCACAACCGCTGGAGGTTGCAGACCCGCTGGTGGGTTCGGGACCCAGGCAAGTTCCCGACTGAGTCCTGTAAAACTTAAGTCGATCACCTGCCTCCGCTCAAAGCCTTCCGGTGGCTCTTTCTCAGAGGACTTGGAGTGGCCTGAGTTTTTCTGATAACAAAGGTTAATAATTATTTTATACATTTTCTTTTATATCATGTAAGCAATAAAAACTGAAATCACAAACCAAAATTAGAATAAAATTAGTTTTTATAACTGCACATGTATTTACTTTCCAAAAGATCTTTACTTCTTCATATGGCCTCGGGTTACTGCTTATTATCTTTGGATGATAAACAGTAACATCCCGTTAGCATTTTTAAATAGGACAAGTCTAGTGGTACTAGATTCCTTCAGCTTTTGTGGATGTGAGGATGTCTTAATTTCTCCCTGATTGTTAGAGGATAGTTGTTTGTTTGTTTGTTTTTTTATTATAGAATTCTCCCCCCCCCCCCCCCCCTCCTCCTCCTCCTCCTCCTCCTCCTCCTCCTCCTCCTCCTCGGATTGAACCCAGGAGTGCTTAACCACTGAGCCACATCGCCAGCCCTTTTAATTTTTAATTTTTTATTTTGAGACAGGGTCTCCTTAAGTTGCTCAAGTTGTTCAGAACCCTGCTGAGTTGCTAAGACTGGCCATAACGGTCTTTATCATGTCTGAACACAGACAAAGCAGGTACATTGTCCAAACCACAAGATATCAAAAATCCCCCATCCCAGATGATGCATGACGACTGCTTCTTCACCCATTTTAAGTTAAGCTGTGCTCCATTTTTCTTATCTCCTAAAGAAGACAGAATTAGTCATACTTCCTGGCAGCTCCCCATCCCAGCAACTCCCCACATCTTCAGACTTTTCTCAAAAGTCACATAACAGAGTTCACATTCCACGGTCTCCTCTAGCTCATCTTTCTGAGACACTGTATCATTCCCCATGGTCTCTTCCCTCCCTGCAGTGAATCAAATAAACCCAACTTTGCTAGTCTTAGGATATTGACCCATGTCAAACCTGTGCCCACCTGAAGGACTTTGCATGTGCTGTGTGATTAATCCAGACTTCGCTTCCCCTGGAATATTCATAGCTCATTTTATGGAGAACTGCTCAAATATCACTTCTTTAGAGAGACCTTCTCTCCCTACCCCCTTTACAATAGTCTCTATACTAGTTTTCGAGGGATGCTATAATAAACACCATAGGCCAGGTGACTTAAACAACAGAAATTTATGTCTTCACAGTGCTGGAAGCTAAAAGACCAAGATCAAGATGTTGGAAGGTTTGGTCTCATTCTGAGGATTCTCTCTGGCTTTTCACTCCGTCTTCACATAGTCTCCCTCTATCTGTGTTCTCTGTGTCCTAATTTTTTTTCCTCTTATAAGGATGTCAATCACATTGGACTAGAGCCCACCCTAGCAATCTCATTTTAATTCAGTTGCATTTTTATATTCCCTCTGAAGGATATGACCACCCCCAGGGCAGGGAAATGACAACTCCCCCAAACTGTCTGACCCCGAGGAAGAGGGAAGAGGAAGGCAACCATGAATCCTCTCCCAGTAAATCCTTTCCCAGTAACAATGGGCCCCAAGGGAAAGAAAGCAAACTTTGATCCCTCCCCTGTTCGTCCTCCCATCTCTACCACCAGCAAACATTCACCCCTTCCCAACCACAGTGGGACCTGCAGGGAGGGTGGCACTGAAACACTGGGCCCTGGACTTTCACCCTGTCCCGTTGCCAATGAGTCCTGGAAGGAGAAGAGCAAGTCGCCAAGCTCTGGGTAACAGTGGGTCCAGAGGAAGAAGAGAAGCAGGGAACACCGAGTTCTGAGCTTTTCCCAGTGACAGTGAGTTTGGGGCTTTTTACAACTTTTTCACTGACCTGCCCAAATCGACATTCTGCCTCAGTTTCCAATAATTCAACCATCCTCATTGTAAACTATAAAATTCAGACTCCTTCTGTAACCGGTGGTTATTTTCCTACACAGAAAATGACACACACACACCCCCGCTCCCAGCATGCCTGATTGATTGATTGACTCTGCTGCAAAATAAAAGGAAGCTTGCTGATCCGCTTGAGGTCTGCTTCCGTCCTGGTTCTTTGTGTTTTCATAATGGTGCTGAAACTGTGTTGGTTATTTTTGCTTATACCCTATTTCCAAATATAGTCACATTCTGTGAGAGTGTGAGTTAGGGCTTGGACATATGCATTTGGGGTGGGGGGGTGCATACATACCTTAACAGGCTCTATCTCTAATTTCTCTGTCCCCACTTTTTGTTTTCCTGAATTTACTATCATCTGATGTTTTGTTAGTCATTCTTTGTCATCTATTTTCTCTCAATGTAAAGACAAGTATCACTCAACAAATATCCCATGTGCATTCCTACATTTCTCAGCCTCTCTGTGGTCAGGTGGGACTAGGTGGTTGATTCTAGTTAGTGGCCTGTTGACAAAACTAAGGTGGACGCCTCCCAGGCCAAAGCAGTTAATTGCCAGTATGTGACTCAGTTTGCTCCCTTCTTCTGCCATAGCGACTAGTGGTGTTCCCAGTGGTATCTTTAAGGACCTTGTGGAATAGAGTGCTCCACTCACCAACACTGGGACATGGAGTGTGAAAAAAGAATTGTGTTAAGCCAGGAAGATTCCAGAATTCTTTTGTTACATAGGATAATCTAACCTAACCCGACGAATACATCCCCACTAGACTGTAAGCATCAGGAGGTCAGGGACTTAAACTGGATCCTTGGTACCTGGTGCAAGGTGGGTTGTCAGTAATTATTTGGGTAGTAAGTGAATGTGTGTGGCATAGAGAGGTAAAGCTTGGAGCTGGAACCATTGTCCACAGTGGACATGGAGCATAACTGAGAAGCCAACCTTTGCTATTTGAAAGTCACTCAGATTTGGGGGAAGTTTAGTATAGTAGCAAATAGGCTTTCTTGATTGATACCAAAATGAGTGCCAGGAGTAGGGGGCTACTGTACTCAGAACTAAAAATAGATGGCATTGACTTAGACATTTTGGGTTCAAGGAAAATTATTAGAACCCAGAGGCTGTTGCCTGAGATACTTTGTAATACAGGTAATGTATTTAATGAACTTGCAGCTTTAGGGGAAGCAGTTGGAATACAGGATATTAGGAGTGGATATTGGCCAAAAGTGGCTGAAAATTGAGAAATCCTTTGAAAGCCCAATTAGAACTCAGCTTTTGGCAAGTTTAAAACCAAGATTATGGTTGAATCATCACTAACCATTGTTAAAATCTGGGAATATCCAGGTGTGGTGGCACAAGCCTGTATTCCCAGTGGCTTGGGAGGCTGAAGCAGGAGGATCTGAAGTTCAAAGCCAGTCTTAGCAACAGAGAGGCGCTAAGCAACTCAGTGAGACTCTGTCTCTAAATAAAATACAAAACAGGGCTGGGGATGTGGCTCATGTGTGAGGCACTGGGTTTGTTTCTCAGCATCACATATGAATAAAATAAAGGTCTATCGACAACTTAAAATAAATAAATAAGAGCTGCAGATGTGGCTCAGTGGTTAAGTGCCCCTGAGTTCAATCCCCTGTACCTCATCCCTCACCAAATCTGGGAATAAATTAAGATACTATCAGGAAATCCTTCCAGGTGGACAAATACCTCATTGAAATAGAGATGAAGGATATGGCTCTCTGATGAAGTCTGAAACATGTGAAGATACCTAGAAATAAGAGGGAGGGGGAGAGGGAGAAGGAGGAAAGAGAGAGGGGGGAGTTGCTTAGAGGTTTGTAAGAATCCTTAGGTATCAAACTTTGGGGAACAGAAAGTAGACTGAGAAACGGATGATGTCCCAAGGAGGCACGTCTTCCAACGCTACTTCAGACATATCCAAGGAGGATGATGGGGAGGGAGATCTGTCCCTGGAGGTTAGAGGTATGAACCTCAGAGAACATGGTTCAGAAGTGTCTGACTCTATCAAGGAGCTGGTTTGAGGCTAATAAGAAATCCTCTCCATCTATGATCTGGAGGCCCTTAGAATGTCTTCTCCCTGGGTTTAGGAATGGTACAGAACAGTGATTTCTGTGTGTCCCCCTTCTTCTCCATCTTGGTGGACGTGAAGGCCTTTTATCCCATTTTATCATTGTATATTGAATAATTTGCCTTTTTAGTCCACTCATTTCTGACTTAGGCTCACTCATTTCATTTCCTCTACAGCTCCTGGGGACATCTGAGTTTTTGACGCTACATCCTTTAGTCAGCCCCTGGATGACATGAGTGGACATGACATGGCACTCCGGGAGCACCTTGAGCCAAGGTTCATTCCGCTGCCCAAGCATTATTCCTGAGTTCTGTGGGTGACCTCACAATGCCCAGTGTGGCACCCAGACTCTGCCTGTAGTTGGTCCACCATGTTGGCCACCCTGTGTCTGGTTAGTTTTTCTTTCCCCATTCTGTGGGCCCAGACGTTAATCAGCTGTTCCTACAAGAGTCTGTGCCAGAAGGCACTGCTCTCGGGCAATGATATTGTCCTGCATTGTGACCATAAGGCGGCACTCTGGTATTTTTCTTCCATTCTTGGGGAGAATATCTTCTTGCTTAACTCATGGCCTAATATAAAGAAACTGCCTGGGGGCAGCCTGCAATTGACCAAGCCTCAACCCTCGCAGGCAGGCCTCTTTCGCTGTGAGGACAGTGCCAACGCCCTCATAGTAGAATATGAGATTGATTTCCAGGATGCCACCACCCTGCATATCACACACAAAGACCTGGGCCAAAAGCCCCTGCAGAATGAAACTCTGAACCTAGGTGGCGAGGTATTTATTTTTACCCACTGGGAGCCCTGGCAGGACTGTAACCGCTGTGAGGAGCCAGGCGAACGCAAGCGCCTGGGGTACTGCTATGTTGAGGAGCCCCCGGAAAAACCCATGCCCTGCTGGCTCTACCTGAGGGATGAGAAGGTGCAATACAGCCGCTTGCGGCCCGAGATGCAGGTGGAAAGATGCCTTGTTCCCTGTGACCCCGGCAAGGAAATCAAACAGCCATTCTTCATCTATGACATTTACCAGCTGGGCAAGTTGACCAACCACATGTGGCTCACCTGCCCCTTGGCTTCCATCTACAGGTGACAGGACCAGGACGGCAGCCCTACCTTTGGCCCTCACCCAAGCTTTGTTTCCTGTGCCCACTGGGTTTGCCCTCCTGTGGAAAATCAGGCTTTTTCTTCCAGCCCATAAGCTTTCAGGGTCAGTCTGGGCAGGAAGGGGTCTGCCCAGTGGCTGACTCAGATGTTCACTGGGCAAGAATTCCCAAATGCTGCCTCTGAGCCGGGCCCTGGGTGAGTGATCTTGGCACAGTGTGACAGCTTAAAAATACCTGGTCTTTGCCCACACGGGCACCTGCCATTCAAATATAAAACCTAGAGACCAACACACTCGGGCCCTTGCTCTTGCCCACATAGACAATTGAATGGCTTCTGTCTCCTGACTTGACCCTGATGAGCATGATTTGTCCATCTTTGTACTAAGGCCATCTGTTCAATTATCTTAATGATTGTGCTTTTTCAATAAGTCATGATATTAGCCAGTGAACATGTTCCAATATTGTTCTGCAAGATTCTCTTGGTTACTCTTGGTCCTTGGTGTAAAAATTTTGGAATCAGTATGTAGTTTTCATCCGCCCCAAATCCTATTTAAAAAAAAAATTGGGACTATTTTGAACCTAAATAAATTTGGGGTAAATCATTGTTTTACAATATTAAATATTGTCTTCCCATCCTTGAATATGGTAAACGATCCCATTTAATATATCTCAAAAATCTGCAATTATTAATGTAGATGACTGACATATATTTTATTATGTTTATTCCTAGTTTTTCATACTATTAAATTCTGAAAATTTCATCTTCGAGTTCTATATTACTTGTATTTACATTATAGTTGATATTTGTATATGACCTTGTATTTTGTTAAATTCACTTGCTTTTAGTAAAATATCACACGGAGAAGTCTATGGCGGATATACTTATCTTATTCTTAATATTTTTGTATGGAATACAGTTTTCTCTGGGTTTTCATAGAAACACTTTATTAAATCAAGAAAAATTTGCCTCTATTCCTAGTTTGCCCAGAGTTTTGAGCCATAGATGGCTGTTGAATCTTATCAAATGCATTTTCTGCATCTACTTGAGATAATAATAATGTTTTTCTTTATTATTTCAATGTGGTGAATTACATTGATTGCTGATCAAGGAATTGCTGTTCACATGTAAACTCAAACTTTCCTTACAGGGATAAACCCAATTTGGTCATGATGTTCTTCTTTCTTTCTTTCTTTTTCTTTTTGCTTTTATTTTTATCATTGGATAAAATTAATATTTGCTATTATTTTTTAGGATATTGTGTCTGTGTTCACAAAAGAGATTTTCCTAAAGATTTCTTTTCTTGTGATGTCCTTTGGTTTTGGTATCAAGGTGATGTGGGCCTCATAGAAGTTCTAAGTGTTCCATCTTTTTCTATTTTTGGAAATGTTTTATAATATTAATGTCATTTTTTATGGTACTAGGAGTTGAACCCAGGGGTGCTCTCCCACTTGAGGTACAATCCCACTCTTTTTTGTTTTTATTTTGAAACAGGAGCTCACTAAATTGTGGAAGCTGACCTCAAACTTGCAATCTTTCTGCCTTAGCCTCTTGAGTAGCTGGAAATCCAGGTGTGCACCACCACCATGCTCAGGTGATATCATGTCTTAATGTCTCAGAAGTATTCAGATGAACTCACTGGCAAGGCTTCCTGGGCTTAGAGGAGATTCTGTGCACAGGCTTTTAAGTGCAGATTTGGTCTCTTTCATTGTAAATATAGGTCTATTCATTTTTTTTCCTTGCTGATTTTTTTTTTCATGAATTTACCCATTTAGTCAAAATTTTCATAAGTTTTGGCTAAAAGTTATCATATTTTGTCATTATTTTTTATATCCATAGGGTCTGTAGTACTGTCTCTCTTTTCATCACTGAGATACGCCTTTTCCCTTTTTTCTCCATCAGTCTTGTTCTAGGGCTTTAACAACCTCATCCCAACCTAGATGCCCTTCAATGGATGAATGGATAAAAAAATGTGGCATTTATACACAATGGAGTATTACTCTGCATTAAAAAATGACAAAATCATAGAATTTACAGGGAAATGGATGGCATTAGAGCAGATTATGCTAAGTGAAGCTAGCCAATCCCTAAAAAACAAATGCCAAATGTCTTCTTTGATATAAGGAGAGTAACTAAGAACAGAGTAGGGTCGAAGAGCATGAGAAGAAGATTAACATTAAACAGGGATGAGAGGTGGGAGGGAAAGGGAGAGAGAAGGGAAAATGCATGGAAATGGAAGGAGACCCTCAGAGTTATACAAAAGTACATACAAGAGGAAGTGAGGGGAAGGGGAAAAATAATATAAGGGGGACAAATGAATGTCAGTAGAGGGAGCAGAGAGAGAAGAGGGGAGGGGAGGGGAGGGGAGGGGAGGGGGGATAGTAGAGGATAGGAAAGGCAGCAGAATACAACAGACACTAGTATGGCAATATGTAAATCAATGGATGTGTAACTGATGTGATTCTGCAATCTGTATATGGGGTAAAAATGGGAGCTCATAACCCACTTGAATCAAATTGTGAAATATGATATATCAAGAACTATGTAATGTTTTGAACAGCCAACAATAAAAAATAAAAAAAAATAAAAATAAAAAAAAAACAACCTCATCCATCTTTTCAAAGAACCAAATGTGCTTTGTTTGTTTTCCTTTATGGTGCTTTCATTTTCTATTTCTTTGGCTTCTGGTTTATTATTTCCTTTTCTGTGTTTGTTGGGTTAAACATTGTTCTTTACCTAAGGTGCTTCCTGAGATTACTACTTTTCATCCTTTTCCATTAAACTTGTATTTAGGCCATAAATTTCACTTAGGCACAACTTCCCTGCATCCCAAAAGTTTTGACAGGTTATATTTTTATCAATAGTCAGTTAAAAATTACTTTCTATCTTCAGTTGTGATTTCTCTTGGCCCATTGGTTATTCAGACATTATATTGCATAATTTGTAGATATCTGTACAAGTTCTTGTTTTCTTTTTTGTTATTTAGGTCCAATTTAATTCCACAGACAAAAAATATGATCCAATTTTAAACATTTATTGAGACTTACTTTATGGCCTAGAATATGGTTTTCTTAGGCACATGTTTCACATGCATATGAAAAGAATGTATGTTGTGCAGTTGCTGAGTGCAGTTTTCCATATGCATGAATTAGGTCATTTGTTTATCATGTGGTTCAAGTCTTCTGCATCTCTACTGAGTTTTTGTTAGCATGTTCTGTCAGTTACTGAGAAATGTATGTTAAAATTTCCAACTGTGATTGCGGATTTGTCTAGTTCTACACTTAAACTGTCATGGTTTCGCTTTATATATTTCTAGTTCTTACAAACTTAGGATTGTTAATATCTACCTATTGGATTGACCATTTTATAAAATGTCTCATTGACTATTAATACTCTAGGTTTTCTTGTCTACTTTCTGTTATTGATTTAGCTGGGGATTTTTGGGTTAGTTTTCACGTGATATTTCACCATGTTTTCACTTTCAACTCTTCCACATTCCTTTATTTAAAATAAACCCAGGGTTGGGGATGTGGCTCAGTTACCTGTCTCGTGTGAAGCCCTGAGGTCTATCTGCAGCAGCGTCAAGAAAATTTTTAAAAAGAAATCTATTTTAAGCAGTGTATATTTAGACTTGTTTTGCTATTAAGTATGGAAATCTTTGCTTTGAGTTGGAATATTCACTCTTTTGCAGTTAATGTAATTACAGACAGGCTTGGGTTTTAATCTACCATCTTGCTATTTGTTTTCTGCTTGTTTTTGTCTGTTCTTTATTTTCCCTTTTCTTTAGCTATGAAAAGTATTTGTTATTATTATCCATTTCCTCCTGTTTTAGCTTATCAGATATGCATTATCTTATTATTTACTCTAGAAATTACAGCACTCATCCCAACTCATTAAAATATAATATAAACTTGCACTTGTACCTTTTCCCAGAAATTTTACAACTCTTTTCCCCTTCTGTGTGGTGCTCTAATTTTATTTTACATGTTTTAAATTCTACAAAAATTTTTTTTGTACCAGGGATTGAACTCAGGGGTACTTAACCACAAAGCCACGTTCCCAGCCCCTGCCCCCGCCTTTGTGTGTGTGTGTGTGTGTGTGTATTTTACTTAGAGACAGGATCTCACTGAGTTGCTTGGGGCCTTGCTAATTTGCTGAGGCTGGCTTTGAACTCAAGATCCTCCTGCCTCAGCCTCCTTAGGTGCTGGGATTACAGGCATGCAACACCACACCTGACAAGAAATTGTTTTTAAAACATTCCATTTTGGGCAGGGGCTGTGGCTTAGTGGTGGAGCGCTTGCCTAGCATGTGTGAGGCCCTGGGTTCAATCCTCAGCACCACATAAAAAATAAAGCTACAAAAAGAAGTCATTAAAAAAAGTCACTCCCTTTATCTACTTCTTTGCTCTTCTGGTGATTTTCATTCTTGCGTTACTTTGCTTCCATTTGGGATCATTTTTTCTGTTGCCAGGAGAATCCTCTTTAGTATTACCTCGCATGTGCTCTGTCGTGGTGACTTTTCTCAGCTTTCACCTGAAAAATATTTACTCTGCCTCCATCTTTGAAGAATATCATTACTGTGGCATAGATTTCTAGGTTGGCACTTATCTTCTTTTAGTGCCTCGATGACATCATTCCATCGTTTTTAGCTTTGGTTATTCTGTTTAAAACTCAATCAAAATCTTATATTTGTTGCTTTGAAAATAATCATCTTTTTCTCCTCTGGTATTTAAAAGAGTTTTCTCTTTGTTTTTCAGCAGTGCTTTTACTACCGTGTACCTAGGTAGGTTTCATTTATGTTCATCCTGTGTGAGAGTCAAAGATCTTGGATTTGTGGTTTAATGTCTTTCATCAATTTTTGGAATGTTTTTAGTTCACATCTCTTCAACTACTGCTTGTAGTCTTGGCCCTGCAGGGGGCAGGGGTGTGACTGGAAACCATAAGGAGACAAGTAGAGACCTTAGCAAAGACCTAGATGAACCCCTGACCTCACCACCTCTCCCTTGTCCACTCCTCCCTTGTCCACTCTGGTTTCCGTGCCCTTTGGATACACTCACCAGGAAGCCATGAGGCTCCTTGTCTTATTCTATCCAGTTGTTTGGGAAACCTCACATCCTCAGAAAGGGCCTGCTATTCTGCCTAAAACAGCTCTCACCCGCACACTATTCTTTCAATTCCTATTCCTTTCCCTGCCAGCTTTTTTTTGAGCAGTCATGGTTATAGTCAGTTCTCGTTATTTGCAGATTGTGTATTTGCAAATTTGCTTCCTATTCACTGGATTTTATTTGTAACTTTGAAATCCATGCGCATAGTGTGTTCATGGTCATCTGCCATCATGTGCAGGGTGGTGAGAACTCTGAGTCACCCAAAGTGTTTAATATTCCCAGCCCAAGGTCAAACAAGGTGACACTCGGCCTTCTCATTCCAGCTTGCGTGCTGTTCAGAAGCAACTTTTTGGTGATCTATTTAGTCCATGATTTTCACCATTTTGTGCTTTTCTGGTAATTTTGCTGTTCAAAGTGGCTCCCCAACAGAGTGCCAGAGTGTAGTCTAGTATTCCTAAGTGCAAGAAGGCTGTGATACGCGTGTTTAAGAAAACATGTGTCCCAGGCACGGTGGTGCACACCTATAATCCCAGCAACTCTGAAGCTGAGACAGGAGGCTCATGTGGTTGGGGCCAGCCTGGGCAACTTAACAAGACCTTGTCTCAAAATAAAAAATAAAAATAAAAAATGGGTGGGGATCTAAGGCAATGGTAGAACAACTCTGAGTTCAATTTCTCAGTAACAAAAAAAGGGAAAAAGAAAAAAACACACACGTTTTATAAACTTTGCTCAGGAGTCTTAGTGCTACCAGAGTTCAATGTCAACAAACCAACAATACGTATTAAGTGATTATTGCCTTTAAACAAAAATGCACACAAAAACAGGGTCACTCATATTGATTGGTTGTCAAAAAATGTTATGACCAGGGGCTCAGAGGAACTTAACCCATATTTCTCTTTGGGGCGATTATTCAATATTCACGTGTTTTTAGTGTTCCTGGCAACTACATTTCATAGCTGCGGTGAGTAGTGGAATTAATTATATGTGTCATTGTGTTTATTGCCTATCTTTTTTCCACTAGAATACGAGCTTAAGAAAGGGAGAGGCTCTGTCTAACCTGCTCACTGCTATGGTTAGAGTGAGTAATGGCTGGCACACCATAGACATTTAGTGAACATCTGTAAGACGGGTGAATGGCAGAA